CAAGCTTCTTGCCCTGACATTTCCTGACTTTGAGAGTGAGCTTACTGTAAGCCTTTTTGCAAACACATCCCTCAGTCAGAGTCACCAGCAGAATCCTATTAATTTACTTTCCATCGCTCCTCATTGTAGGCAGTGTGAAGAGTGACGTCAAATGTCCCAGCCTGACACAGACTTGACAGTGGAGTCAGTGGGTAATTATAACCACACGATTCATGAGCCTTAAGAAGATTTTGTCAACATTTTCTCGTCTGAGCTCCAGCTTCTTATCTATCCAAAGGAATTTATTAACTCCCCAGCCTCCTTCCCCCCACTTTTTAATAAGCATTTTGGTGCTATTTTTAAGCATCGCTATCATTTATTAATGGCCCCCTCCCCCTGCAATAGATCACCCCTTTGTAACAGAAGAAAATAAAACCAACAAGTGGCCAGGCCTGCTGGGAGGAGGGAGGTGTGTGTCACCCTCGGTCACCTTCACTCCTCTGAATTCAAAATGGGTCCCTGAATTAATTACACAGTAGTTTTTCTCTCTTCCAATGTTTTCCTGGACATTTTCTTTCAGCTATTGATCAGAGGAGTCTAGATTTATAGCAGGAAGGGACCTTGGAGGACATCAAATCCAACTGCCTCATTTTGGAGATGAGGAAACTGAGGCCCAGTGCAATTAAATGGATTTTCCAAGCATGGCAGAACCTGTAAGAGCAGGATTTGAACCCAGGTCTTTCTGACTCCAAGTCATTCCCTCTTCACTACACAGTGTTGTCTCTTATGTAGATTTCTCTCCCTGTCCCCTTCTTCCCAGGTTCCTCTCATTCCTTCATATTCAATTATATTCGTATAAAATGATTTGTTCAGTCATTCTCCAAGTGATGGTCACGCAGAGGATGATAGGGTCAGAAAACAAGAGCCAGCAGAGACCTCAAAATCCAGTGAGTCCAGCCTCCTTAGGCACAGAGACTTTAATGCTGGAGGAAGGATTTGAATGCAGGTCTTTCTGATTCCAAATCCTGGGGCCTATCCATGACACCACACTGTCTCTGCCTGCATGGATGTCAGTACTTTGCTATCACAAGAACTGCTGCAACAAATAAGTTTGTACCTATCTCTGGGTCAAAGGCTAGAATATATTTTAATGAAACTGGTAAATTTAGTACAAAAATTACCTAAGGAAGGAAAAAGTGTTTCCCAAAATGATGATTTTTGATAGTTTTCATGAGGAATTTTGGGGAAAAGAAACTTTATTCTCTAAAAAACTCTCCCAGATTGGTCATCTCTTCAACACGGACATTCTCTCCAGTAATATGGATTGTAGCCCGTCCTGGGCAACTCTCGTCCATGTCCTTTCCAAAATTCTCAGCAGAGGGTCCATCCCACATGTTGAAGGATTTCCTTGAGTCTCTTCACGTTGTACGGTTACCAGAGAAGCAACCAACAGAGGCATGTCTCTCTCTCCCACTACACCACCAGCCCATCCTTTTCTCCTTGCCATACATTTCTCTGACGAAATTCTCAAGGCCCTTCCTCCTGTAGAATTTCGCGGGGCAGCTAGGTGGTACAGTGGTGAGAGCTCCAGCCTTGAAGTCAGGAGGATCTGAGTTCAAATTCGACCTCAGATACTTGACCCTTACTAGCTGTGTGACCCTGGACAAGTCACTTAACCCCAATTGCCTCACAAAAAAAGAATTTCTCACTAATAATGAGTTATAGCCAGACCATTCTCATATGCATCTCCCCATGTTCCTCTGGGGCATCTTCAAGTCCAGTCTTTCCTTGCATTCTCTGGTTCCAGTCATACAACACCATGAAAACAATATTGGCATTAGAAAGATGAACCTTTGCTTCGGGGGAAGCTTGGGATCATTAAAAGAATAACAGCATCCCAAAGGCACTCTTAGGTCCTCACCTTTCTTTTAAATTCTGAGCCTAGCTTCTTGTCCTTTGTCGTGCCTGGCCCAGGTAAATGTAAATAAAGACCAGATCCATAGATTTTCCATCCAACACAGATATTCTTCATCCAATTGGTTTTTCCCATATGGGTGGGTGAGCCAAACTCTTTTGAGTGAGTGCATCTTAGGAAGTTTTCCAATGTTTCAGGGCTTAGTGAAGTCAACACAATATCATCCACAAACCTAAGCATTTAAAGAACCTTAGGACTTTAAAGTTTTTACTTTAGGAAAATTAAAAAAAAAAAACTGGGACCATTGGCAGAATCTGACATCTTTTCTCTCAATTTTAAAGCAAACAGGGGGCAGTTAGGCGGCATAGTGGATAGAGCACCAGCCCTGGATTCAGGAGGACCTGAGTTCAAATCCTGCCTCTACACACAACACTTACTAGCTGTGTGACCCTGGGCAAGTCTCTTAACCCCATTGCCTAGCGAAAACATTCACCATCCCAACACGATTCCATCTTCTACCTCCATGACTTTGAATAGATCATCCCATATGCCTGGAATGCTCTTCCTCCTCACTTTGGTTTCATGAAATCCCCAGTTCTTTTCAAGATTTATTTCTGATGGTGTGTTATGGTGAAGAGGACCCAAAGTGTCCTGGGGTCCTTCCATGTATATTATTGTTGGATGAAAAGACCACCCTTGTTCATATATCAGAGTGACAGCCCCAAGAAGTGACATTGATGTTGAAATTGACCATACCTTCTACTAGGGACCTTTTAAAAGCTTTTGCTTCACTGATAGTACCAATCTTATCAAATGGAACCATAATATTCCCCCAAAATGGGTAAGGGGGAAAAAGAGTCAGGGGCTAGGGAAAGGGAAGTCCCCACTTTCTTCCACAGTTCCTGAGTATTTTTTAGCTTAAGATGGCACCCAGTGTCAGTTCATTGTGACTTGTGATACAAAGTTATCACTTCCAAATTCACAAATATTCTTTTACCAAGATAGAATATTCCCATTTCTGAGATACTTATGTATCTCTTTGATGATTGTATAACTGCTGATGAAGGGAAATCTCTTAAATCACTGACAAAAAGAATGCTTGCTATCAGCATTAATATCCTTATTATGCCCTATCACTGTGTTATTTAAACAAGACTGTGTTTTTTTATCAGAAGTAATACATGCAGATCCTACATCTCATTCCCCTGAAAATATTGTAACCAATTAAATAAATGTATATTATTATTAACAATACTTACAAATTGTTATTTATAGTTTTATAAGTATTATTGTTATAAATTTATCATGTAACAATGATGATGGTGATGAGAAAATATTTTAAGGTTTGCAAAACACTTTACGTATACTATCTCTTTTGGTCGTCACAAAAAGCCTTTGAGATAGGTGCTTTTATTAGTGATCTTTTACAGATGAGGAAACTGAGATCGACAGGTAAAACGTTGTGCCACTGGCCACAAAACTAGGAAGTGTTTGGGGCAGGATTTGAACTCAGCTCTTTCTTTCTCCACACCCAGTGCTCTATCTACTGAGCCATCTGACCACAATAAGACAGCTTAAACACACTTAAATGACAAGTAACTACTAAAATAAGAGGGAGTGATGCAATGACTTTTATGGTCCTTTCCAGCTTCAGACGGATGGATGACCGTCCTGGGAAGTTTTATTGACTCCTGGTGCCTTTCTCTGCGAGAAATACATGTAGAAATCTGCTTATCGGTGGGATCCAGGATGACTATGTTCCCTAAGAAAAGGGCAGAAACAAAAGGCTTTCAGGAGAGGGGGAGAGGTATTCTCCTCTACATCATCCCAAGCCTTAGTGTGAATTCTCTCTCTGCCGTCACTGTTGCCATTGAGTTCTTGTTCTGCTATTTCCAGTTTGGATGAGATCAGGCTGGCTCCGGCTCCCGGCCTAATTGTGGCTGGCACCATCTCATCACAAGAGCTTCAAGCACAGCATGCCACAGCGATGCTTGCTTCCAACTGTCTTTTGATACAGACACATTCCAGCACATTAAAAAGAAAAAAAGAGAGAAAAGAAAGAAAATACATCCATTTCAGGTTATAATCCAGGTTTTCTGGATTTTGTGGGAATTTGACTCTGGCCTCTCCTTTACTCTCCCCCCTTCCCGTCCCTGCCTCATCCCACCCTGAAATACATGTGTTTACATGCACGATGGAAATGCTTGCTTTGGAAGAAAACAGTTGAACTCAATCCATCTCAGTATCCTATCTGATTTCAAATTTGGGGAGCTTTGGAAACACTAGGTGGTGACCTTCATTCTGATCAGTGGTGACTATTCTGGGTCATTTCTGAGCAATTTGGACAAAGAAGAAGGTGAATTAGACACAAATATGAGGCTCTTCTTTCCCTGGGAGTAGGCACCAAATTTCGTGTTGCCTTACTGATCGGTATTTGGGGAGCTGGTGCCTTTTGGCTCTCGGGAGGGCGGCAATCCATTCACATCCGCGATGTCCGTTCTGAGGCACTTTGTGAGGACTCTAAGCCCGAGCTAGGATTGTTGTGGGATGAAAAGGCTCTGCTGTCACAGGGCTGCAGGGCGCTCACACAGTTTTGTGCCAGCTCGAGGCATGGAGGAGAGAATCCCTTTTGCAGAAGGGTGAATTGAGTCCAGTTGTCTAAAGAAACTGGAGCCAATGAGCCTGGAGTGGGCGGAGCTCCAGTCAGTACGTTACATGGCCAGATGATAATTCTGAATGAAGATTTTGAAAAATCCGATGTGCCAGCTGATCCATGGCTGACTCCAGGTCTGCTGTTTAGGTCAAATAGGTGAGCCTCGCCTGTGACCAGCGTCCACGTAGCCGCTGTAGTTTGTTTGACGAGGTTTTCCAGCCAGGTGCATGCAAGCGGCTTATGAGGAGCCCTTATGAATATTTCATGAGTAGGTCTCTCCAGCTGAATGAATTCAGTGAGTGGCAGTGTGTAGCTTGCAGACAAGCCATCTCCACAAGGAGGCTACAGGCAGAGCAAACACTGGGGTGCTGTTTTCAGAGGGAGAGCCGGGGCTCAGCGAGCTGCTGGGGACAGCCGGGAGCAAACCTTGTTGGAGCACGCGTCGCACCCTCTGGGTACCACTCGCATCCTTCGCACTCCAGCGCCAGGAGCTGCTCAGGCTGAGCCTCTCAACGCTCTGAGTTGCGAGTGGGCTTTTCTGCTATGCGCTGGCTTTTTCCTCGGTGTCTGTGACAGCTTACCCACCACCACCCCAGACATGACTGCCAGGGAGCCTTCAAAGGAGCTGGGAACTCTTGAGACCGATGTGCGCATCCGGACTTTCAAGGAGCAAATGCACTTGGAGCTGGAGCTGCCCAGGCTGTCCGGAAACAGACCGACTTCTCCCAAGATTTCCCCTCGCAGCTCGCCCAGAAACTCCCCATGCTTCTTCAGAAAGTTGCTGGTGAATAAGAGCATCCGGCAGCGACGACGATTTACCGTGGCACATACGTGGTAAGCCGGGCTTTCTAGCTCTCCTTCTTTCTACCCCGGGGCTGTGAAAGCATGGGCTTTCTATGGCAAATGGAAACAAAACAAAACCCGGTTTCATTCACAGTACGTGCGGCAAGTGGGAGCTGAATAGGGTGAGAGGCAGCTGGGAGGCTTTCTACGGCTCTGCTGGGGAAATCGGCCTCTGGCTTCTCCTTGTTTTCCTGATTAAATTAATAAACCTTGAAATTGGTAGGGTGGCTCATCTGGGTTGTAGAGGCGGAGAAAGGGGACAGGTGGGCTGTGATTGTCATGATTGAAGGGAAGGTCCCGGGATTGCTTTAAGGAAACGTCTCTCAGGGATAGGTGCCTACATGTTCCAGGCGCAATTGTATTCAGTGGGGTATTTCTCCTTAGCTCTTTTGGAGGTGAAGGGTGAATGGATGCTGCAATGTTGCCCCTTTCTCTTTCTAGGCCGTGCCATGGCTTTGTCAATCCACTTAAAAAGACATAAACTAGTTATAGATCAGGTTTTTAAAGTGGGGTTGCCGTTTTAATGTTCTTTTTTTTCTCCCCCCCCCCAAGTAAATATCTATAGAAAACACATTTCTCCTTCTGGGTAAATCAAGTGTCAAAGGGGAAATATTGTTTGTGCTTGTTGAGTTGGCTTTCATTCTAAGAGGAGAAAAATTAAGACTCAACTCTATTTTTATTCCTGAAAACACTGTAAAGCCCGAGGTTTGACTGGGGCTACAATCCTATTTCTATCTTCCACAAATTGTATGCACCCTCTGCTGACTTAGTTCTCAACTTTCTAGGAAAAAGGGGACAAAATTGGCAGAGGGGACTTCTTTCTGAAGAGCCTAGCACTCTCTGAGAGAATCAGTGCTAGGTGAAGATGCCCCACTGTGGCTATTTGAGGGAAGAATGTTGGTTTCTTTTGGTTGTTGTCATCGTATTGTGTTTCCCACATGAATGTGTGACTTAAATAGTGTAGGGAAAGCCTAGTGTGGAATTGCCCACCACTGGTGTAGATTAACGACTCTTTTCTAACTTAGAGTCTTAGAGAGATTCCTGGGATACTACTGACAGGTTAGGTGACTTGTGCTTGTATCAGAGGCTAGACTCAAACCCAGGTGTATTGACTTTTAGACTGACCACCTAATGACTTCATGGAAATACCTTTTGTTCAATTTCATAGAAACTTAAAATTCTAAAATACTTCAGAAAAGCAGAAATTCAGTCACATTATACATAGTGTATTGAAAAGAAAGTTGGGTTTGGAGTCGATCAAGGTTTGAACCCAACTCTGTCACGGGATACCTTGTGTCCTTGAGCAAATTACTTAATTTCTGAGTCTCGATTCTGTAAATGCTTGTTGCCTTGAGTGTAAAATAAGGAGGTCAGACCAGATGACCCTGACAGCCTCTGTGGCTCTAAGTCTATGATCCTATGAGAGAAAGAACTGGACCTGTCTTCTTTAGTTTGTATGCCAAGAGCTCTCGAGGAGGGTCCAATCCTTTCTCTGGCTCAGTCGTGAAATCTGAGAAATAGCACAGCAGTTATTTAGTCAGCCTCAAGTAAAAATACAAGAGCATCAGTTCATTTGCTTTTTCAGTCGATTTTTTTTTCTTTTTAACAATGGAACCATTCGAAATTAGATTCCCCTGACCTTGGAATTTTTTTGGTCATTTACTAGGGGGAGACATAGAGAGTAAGAGGGTAGCTAACATTTCCTGAGAGTCATTTCAGCATCCTAGTTTGGGAAGAATATATTTCTGTAGAGAAGATCGCTCTACCCTGGCATCTGGACAGTGATGTTTGGGGCTGTAGGAATGAATATTCACTGTAATTCGTGGGGTTTCAAGCTTTTGGGGGTCATAGACCCTTTTGGCAGCCTGGGGAAACTTATGGATCCTTTTTTAGAATAAATGTTTTGAGTTTTTTTATAATTCATAATGGAAGAATATGGTAAATTTCAGTTAGAAGTTAGTGAAAACAAAAATGTATTTTTCCCATCCCATTTCCTGCACCCTCTGAAATATACCCACAAACTCCAATGGACCCCAGGTTAAGAACTCCTGTTCTATTTATATTTTCTCATTGCCTCCTACTATTCTAACGTTAACCCTACAAAGTTTCAGCCTACTCCTGCTCAAGACTCACACTGTTGTGACCCAAGTCATACTAAGTGTGGTCAAATAAGCAGGTTAACTTTTAACTTATTCTGGGTAAAAGAGCATGTGATGGAAGATGGGGCTTTCCCCATTATTCATTCGGTTATAGATCTTCCTTCTGACTTTTTTAAGATCCTGTAATGCTGACATTTTTAGCAGAAGGTTTCCCCAGAAGAACCTTATGGTACACAGTCTTCCTTTCTGGGCTCCTCCCTCTTTGCTTCTAACATGTGGATGTGTTTATGCAAATGTTTCACTAAATTGTGTGACTATAGGAAATAGTTGAATGAGCTATTAATTATGCTAAAAAAGAAAGTACAATAAAATATATGATTTGCATATCCATTCATACATAAAGACACATTTAAATATATCCTGACCTCCATTGGTAGGGGGAATTCTCTCATGTGAATTCACAAGTCTGTTCCCTATTCTTATATATTAATGTATATATGTGTATCACACTCATTCGTAGGTGCATACATGCATGCACACACATGCACATATGCAAGCATACATTTTCCTACCTGTAGTCAAAACAAGCTGTAATTTTTTAGCAGAAGCAAATCTAATTAGAGTTTTTAGTAAGCTCATTTTCAGATAATGATAAATCCAATTAAAGCTCAGATATGCATCCCATATGATAAAGATTTTAGCTTCACAAATACATGAACATGACTTTTCTCCTTGGGACAGATTTGACGCAGTGCTATAAATATGGATTGGATTATTCTCTAGGTGGCCAAACAATATTTTGGAATAACTATTTTGTGCTTTTAATTTTACTCACATGTTGTCCCCTTAACGCACACAGTAAGTTGAAGAAAGGAAATTTTATGACATGAGCTTGAGATCATGGTAAATAACCAGATTCCTTAGTCAAGGGAATTCTGTTTTTCCTAAATCACTCATGAGAATAACACCATGAAGGCAGTGTGGCCTAGTGACTGAGCTTGAAACTAAAAAAAAAGACCTGGCTTCACATCCTGCCTGTTGCACTAATTAGCTGAGTGGACAAATCTTTTAACTTCTTTCAACCTCAATTTCCTCATCTGTAAAAGGATAATAATTATACCCATCATGTCTACCTTTCGAGGTTGTTTGTAGAAGCACAGATCTAGAGCTGAAGATACCTATTCTAAACTAACTCCCTCATTTTACACGTGAGAAAAATCAGGAAAAGAGAAATGTTAGGTGAATTGCCCAAGGTCACACAGGTAGTAAGTGAAAGGTTCAGGATCTGAACTCAGGAACTAGAATGTTCCACCGTATCCCACTGTCTCCTTTGGCCTGAGATACATACAGGGAAAGTGACTTCCTCTCCCCTTATTCCCCCAACCAGTAATTGTCAGAGGTGGGATATGAGGCCATATGTTCCTGATTCCAAACCCAGCACTTTACATACAATATAGTAAGTTTCTACATCTGGCTTCTGGGTCAGCTAGGTGGTGCCATAGTGGATAGAGCTCTGGACCTAGAGTTAGAGAGACTTATATTCATGAGTTCAGATCTGGCCTCTGATTCTTGCTAGTTGTGTGACCCTGGACAAGTCACTTAGCCCTGTTTGCCTCAGTTTCTTCACCTGTAAAATGAGTTGGAGAAGAAAATGGCAAACCACTCCAGTATCTTTGCCAGGAAAACCCCAAATGGGGTTCCAAGGAGTCAGACACAACTAAAATGATGGAACAACACATCTTGCTTCTCATGTTTTAAAAACAACTAGAAGTATTTCATATCCTCTTATTAAGATATAACATGGTTTGCGTTGGTCTGTTTGTTGTGACAAAAGCCTAGCAGCTTCTTCTGCCGAGTGACCAAAATTTTTAAAACTTTGCATTTAAATTGGAAATACAAAATTTGCTCTTAGAAATGGGTGAAAACAAGTTATTACTTTTCACTAGGTGAGAGGCTTCTTTTCAGGAATAGTTTTAATTTCTGGGCTAAAATAAAAGAAATTCTCAACGAAGCCATTCGTAGGAGAGCTTTTGGATTCAAACCCTCTGAACAGGTTCTTGTATCATTTGGTATTTACTGGGTCAGGTTTGTTTTGATGAACTTGTAGGTTTTTTTTTAAAATATAGAAGTCAATGGGGAAATGGAGTAGAGATGAGGGGAGAGTAAATGTTGTCATCCTGAGACTTCCTTGTGAAATCAGGATCCTGACTGGGAATGTGGTCAAAGTGTTAGCTCTAATTAGGATAACCATCAAACCTTCCCGTCTGGAATGCCCTTTGTCACATCATCTAGTTTAACCTTCAACTTCAGGCAAGATGATTTAACCCTCCTAGGCAGAGCTCTGATACTGCCCCTTTTATAAGATCTGAGAAAGGCTCTACGATCTTTTTTCATGCAAAATTTGATCATTTCAAGACCAATATTATGATCAAATTCTTCTCAATAAGCATTTATTAAACACCTACTGTGTGCCTGGTACTATGCTAAGTGCAGAGGACAAAAAGAGGACTACACAGTCCCATGAGGAAAATAACAAGCAAACATTATATTTAAACACACTATATACAGGATAACTAGGATGTAAGTAAGAGACAGGGCATTAGTGTTAAGGAGGATTGGGAGTGACTTCTTGTCAAAGATGGGATTTTAGCTGGGCCTTGAAGGAAGCCGGGGAATCCAGGAGGCAGAGATGAAGAGGGAGGACATTCCAGGCATGGGGAACCGCCAGGGGAAATGGTCAGAACCCTGAGATATCTCCATCTAAGCCAGCCTCTTCTGCTGAGACTTAAGATGGATCCTAATTTGGATATGGAAAAGTAAATTTCCTATCTTTTCCGTAAGATTCTATGATCATAGGATCAGAAATCCAGAAGTGGAAGGGACCTTAAAGTC